CCAGCTGTTAATGTGCCACGCTCTGACTCCGCCACAGTGCTAGGTTGCTAATAAGCATTGAGAACAGCTACTGCCTTTAAACATCTGAATATACAGTTGTAAATATTCCCATGAGCATTAACTGTGGCTCAGCTTGATTATCTTCATTTTCAGCAGTCTGCCGTGTTATGAATAATTGAAAGGAGTTGTTTCAGACCGAACATTAGACAGACAGAGACTGGAGAGGGGCTGAAGATTCTTAATAAAACTCCTACAACATTGAGTCAAGTCTCAGTGCTCAGAGTGATGTGCCTAAACCTAGTGACCAGCTGGAAGGTGCTACCAGGAAGGGTAGTTGTGGCCAGGACACAAGACACATTAAGGAACAGCTTGCTAGTGCAGTGGGTGGGGTCTCTGAAAAGATGAGACCAAATGGGCCGAAGGAACTTCATTTGAACATCTCTTGTGATTGTTCACATGTTGGCAGGGGCTAAGGACATGACACACCTGGTGCTGAATGTCTTCTGCCAAGCTGCCTGCCCTTTCCACCCAGTTACTTGAATCGTACTCGCTGCCTTAAAAGTCCTGTGAGCACTGAGAATGATTTGCGCCACCAGATTGTGCAGTATAGTTGCCTGCTTTCCCACATAGTTTGCTCAGAAGCAGTGTGCTTGCCAGGCGGTATTATAATATTTTCTGTTTGTGGGACTTTGCTGTGTACAAAATAAGTAGCACATTGTCTACCCCACAGTGAATACACAGTGATTCCCTGTGAACTGTCACGAGACATTGACCTAATAGATGCGATTGTATTATTAAATATTAATTAACAGTAATGGGGTAATACACTAATACACTGTCAGGATACAGTCAGGGTGCTTGTGCAGACAGTCTTTAGGGACATGGGAACAGTTACAAGGCAGCAGAATCCTATTCCAGGGCTTGACGTTCACTGGTGTATCTCGGAGGTCATTTGAACCTCAGGGTGAAATTGAAAAGGTGCCCATCTCTCTGTTATTGTGTACAATGTGTACTGGATTGGAGGAGATTTATTACAAATTAAATTTTTTTTGGCAGAAAATAAATGTCTGCCAAAGGAGGCAGGTAGGGGAAGCCATGCGATGAATTCAATGGCCACTTCCCACTGAGGTCCAATTGACTGATGTGATCTGTGTGAGAGGCAACCTCCAGCCCATCTCCACACAATCACCACGTATTATAGACAAATTACTCTGCAGCTCCTGTAGTAGGACAGCAGTGACTGTGTATTCTGAGCAGGTTGTTAAAAGTTCAGATTTTTGTACTGAAAACAGGAGTGAAGGTTGCAGCAAGTTGAATGGACCCAATGCATAACAATAATCCCCGCAGTTGATGTAGCACTGGGATGTGTCAATAAGCTTCAGAAGGTTTTCTGTGAAGTGTAGTGACTGCGTTTTTGTAGGTGAATACAGCAGCCAATTTGCTGTCCACAAACAGCCATGAGGTAAGTGGTCCATTATTCATAAAACAGAATTTGTTATCCGATTTAATTTAATCTCCTCCCTAACCTCCTGGGAGCAGTGAGAGGCACTGCCAGGTGTCTGCTCAAGCCTGTTAGTGTTGTAATAAGAAATAATCCTTACATTCGATACGACTCCATTTCCGTCAGGAGGGACGTCTCAAAGCGCTTACTATAAGGTGTAGTGACTGGAGTTAGGAAGGCCGACAAGCAAGGAGTTTGCATAGTCAAGCCTCGATGTTATGAATGCATGTATGAGGGTTTCAGAGGCCTGTGGTGTGAGACAATGGTGGAGCCGGGCGTTGTTGTGTAAGTGGGGGAAGAATTGATCATGGCACGGATGTGGGGTAGAAAGGATAGCTATTATTAACAATGATATGAGCAGCTGATCGATGTGAATTTGGACAAGGAGTGTGTGTGTGTTAATGTATCTGTGTGTGTGTGTGTGGGTGGGGGGGTGGGTATAACCCAAGGTAAACTGGATGGAAACACTCTCCCCTCCTCAGCGATAGCAGAGCAGCCCAGCCCGTGCCTCCTCAATCATGAGGTAGATGGAACCAATGGCTACTTAGAATTACATGAAGCGATAACAGCCCGGAAACAAACTATTGTGTCCTCCCAGTCTGTGCTGGTGTTTATACCCCACACCCGTCCTTCCTATACCCCCTCGAATCAATACCGCAATGATAGAGTGGGACCATGATCTGGACAGTCGGTGGGGAGGCACCATCTCTCACCCACATCCATTCTCTGCTCCAGGCTCCTGGCTGTCTGATCTCTTAGCAAAGATTGGGTTACCATGGCAACTAAAAGCTAAGCTAAAAAAAGTAAAAGTGCATCCCAAACCTCAATTATTAATAGGAGACTTTTCTAAAACTCTTGACAAGTAATGGCTCTTATATTGCTCAAAGATGTAAAGTCTTGAATATCTAATCTCCAGTTTTATTGCTAAAATTATATTTCCCTGATGTCATTGGGATGAATCTCAGCCATTCTTTCACATTATACATTCGACCTGTGCATTCTGCAGCGAGAATTCTCCATCTGAAGACAGACAAGCAATATTTCTCTGGCAATAAACGTCGAGGGAGAGATTAAAGATTCTGAACTTTTTCAGAACCCAACTTTAATCAAAAGGCATTAACCTTTCCGAATTTCGGGTGGGTATCGTTGACTTGCCACGTAATTTAACTCTTAAGCAGATAATTAAAAAAAAAAAATAATCCTTGCATTTGATATAGCGCTTTTCACGTTTTCTAGACGTCTCAAAGCGCTTCACAAAATATGCTGTAAAGTGAATTGACTGTATATTTGTGGGTGAAACGCAGCAGCCAATTGCTCACAGCAGTGTTCCACAAACAGTTGTGCATTGAAACTGACCAATTTATTATTGTTTTGTTTTGGAGGGATTATGATTAGGTGTGTGTAGTAAGGAAACTTGGTTTTGCCCTATCTGGAATTGAACCCAATTAATTCAAGATAGATAGTCCCGAGAAATAGGCATCTCCTCAGAGCAGCAGGTCATCAAAACCCCCACGTTTGATACAGGACCTGCAATGTCAGAGCATCGGCAAGTGGTTCCCAGCCAATAGTTGTTGTGTATAATAATCCTTGATACATCAGTAGGACATCTCAAAGCACTTCATGGGATTTTACTGTAAAGTATAGTGACAATGTATTTTGTATGCAAACGCAGCACAGGTTTTCTGCACAGGTTTGTTCCACAAACAGCTGGTGTGTTTTGTACATTTCCCGCTACCAGAACGCACGCCATTTAGACTCAAACCATATTTGAGGCATTTGAGAAAGACACAGCTGAAGGACATTGAAAGACACAATTTCTGTAAGCATGGCTAGTATGTTGACGTCAGACTCACCCTAGCACTGAGCTCTTGTGCATTGATTTATTCTGAGAACCTGTAGGCAGTTCAGTCAATACACTGTGTCTACAACCATTCAATCAATACAGTACACACGCAGCAATCTATGCACTCGCAATCCAATCTCTGAACCCAGACACTGCTCCTTAATGAATGCCCCAATGTCATGGGATGCCAAGGGCAAAGCTTTTATAGCTGATTGCCACTGTCCTGCTCCATACATAATGCATACATTCTGCGGGCTCTACTGTCCCGAATATGAAGGGACAACATTGAATACCTAACCTCCAGCAGGTTTTACAACCAGCCTTTGCAACTCTCTTGGTTGAGCTCCTCTCCACATGTGACACACTAGATCTGATGTGGAGGCCACATGTCTCTGGCATTGACCCAGAGCGGTCAGAATGTCAGTCCTTCTTTACAGAGCATTTTACATGCCTACTGCTCTTGGCTACACTACATTATTAGCAGCTTTCTATGCCTGGAATCCAAGGATTAACCACAGCCATGAACTCATCCTCTGTTGCTTTTGTACCAACTTGTATCTGTCTCAGTCTCTATGAGTTATGTACAGTAATCCTCAGGAAATCGAGATGAGTTGAATCTGCTGGGAACTCAAGGGTGCCTTGATTTGTCCGATTTATGCTGAGTTTCTATAATAAAATGGGTCTCGGTCACACATATGGATGTTGGCAGCAGCTACCTTGGTCTTTGGGCTAAATGATACCTATGATGGCTCCAAGTTCTGCCATTTAGCTTTGGACCAAATCACATTTTACTTCTCTATCTCTCTCCCTTTTCACTGAGCCATTCCTCACTCAGTCTCCACATTATCTTAATGTGCCTGGACACTACAGAAATTCAATTGGAAGGGAGGGAACTGAGGCTTACAGGAGCTGGCTGGTGGTCAAGCCTTGCCGACACAGACAGGCAGAGTAGAGAACTTTGGTGGGAATCTTTCAGGACTCTCCTGCACGTCACTATTGCTTACACACTCCCCACAAAGCTCGAAATGCCTGGTGGAGAATGCTGATCTGCTTGTTTGAGACAGTTACTGGAGTGTAAGCCACCAGGGCCCTGGGCTCGAGGTGATGGGTACAAATGAACCTCAGCGAGCGAGCCTATCTAGTTAATGCAGTGTAGGAATCTCTGTGTCCCAGGGCTCCTTGCTTTCCTTGAAACATAATGGTTTAGATCAGATAAAACCTATGATACATATCTATTAGCTGATGTGAAGTGAGTGTGAAGGAGCTGGATTGTGATGCGGAATGACATTGACAGGCTCACCCTCGAGTATCTATGGCAGGTTGGGCGGCTTTTGCTGCAGCTAAGATGTCCTCTGGCGATTGCTGTAAGCTCTTCACAAAGGTTCTTCTTGGATGGAAAGAGCGAAGGATTTGCTGTGTTTGGTGCTGAAGCACATAATGCTGACCTCTGGCAAATGCTCTCTGGGAACAAAGCTTGTATCTTGGGGTCACCGTTTGTGTATCTTGCGGGCACTATTCGCGTCTTCTGATCTGATGGTTTCAGACGCCGTATTGACTTTAAGACTGGAGTCTAGTAGTAAGGTGGTTGTATAAAGCCAGAGCACGGCCAGTAAGACAGCAATGTTTTTGACGTTCAACCCTCCCTTCCTCACACAGGTCTGGCAGTGCGGAGGCAGCATGGAGGTCCTGCCTTGCTCCAGAGTGGCTCACATCGAACGTACAAAGAAGCCTTACAACAATGACATTGATTACTACGCAAAGAGAAACTCCCTGCGAGCAGCAGAGGTCTGGATGGATGAATTCAAGTCCCACGTGTACATGGCATGGAATATCCCAATGAGTGTAAGTGTGGAGGGTTCAGTCACTATCAGGTAGCTGAAGTTAAGATTGTCTCTGAGTCACAGGCAGTCACATAGTTACCTTCTTTCACAGGGTATTAAACTTCCCTTTATTTGCAAGCTGCTCACCACGTAACCCTAACCCTCAGCCTTAAGAAGAGATGTGGAAAACACTCCCATACATAACACAGGCTTCCTGCACGAGCGTCAGCACTTCAAGGTCCCCCAGGGGAAGCTCCGTTATAAATGTCTTTGTATAAACAGAATAGGAATGTTTATTTTTCATGACAGTGCAAAGAATGAAATAACTGTAGAGAGATTCTGAGACCGAGAGCTCCCCCAGCAGGAGAAACTAAGACATAGGGAGCTGTCCCTCTGGGGAGGATGTCACCCAAACTGCTCTTCAGCACATCCTAGTGGCTGCGCAGAGTTTGGGAATCTTTTGTCTTGGCTTCATGCTGACAGAGTGGGGAGAAACACCAAACAGAAATCAAGTCCATGTGAAATGTAAAAACAAGCCTGAGAGAGGGAGGCACTTTTATATAAATATTTTCTTTCTTTGTTACTTTGACAGAATCCTGGGGTTGATTTTGGCGACGTGTCAGAGAGAATCAATCTCCGAGATAAACTCCAGTGTCGGAGTTTCAAGTGGTATCTGGACAACGTTTACCCTGAAATGAGGATTTACAACAACACCATCACCTACGGAGAGGTAACTGAGAACACAGGTCCAAGGTGCCAACTCCCCACTGTCAACATGTTTTATTTAGGCTTAAATGATCTGCCAAGATTAGCCATTGACTCACATCCTAGCTCTATGGCTCACCAGAACATTCCTGCACTGTGCCCCCAGCCACCCCATCTGCACAGTTTTCTTTCTAAAATGATCATTAGAGCCTGAAGACAGTAAGTCTTGAAGGAGAATAACTTGGCTGAGGGAGAGCAGGCTTGGTACTCACATCATAAATTGCTTGTTTAAGCATTTTATGCAGATTGACAAGTCTCTAACCCACTGGAAAAATGTTAAATTGCTCGCAATCTTGTATTCTAGCGCCTTGAAATGGAAGACAATTTTCCCCTTTACTTTGTTACCTTTGGATGCTCCAGCAAAACAAATGGTACACTTCCTGTCACTTGTTACAGTATCAGATGGTCTGGGCTGTGTCTGGGGCAGCTTGGCCAACCAGTCTGGATTTCACATCATGGGATGTAGGCTAATAACTCCATTTGATTGATACACAGGATCGTAATGCTTACAATCAGGCGTGAATGTGTTTAGCCCAAAACACCTTCCTTCCTGCTCAGTTCTAACAAGCTCTCGCCACCGTTACGCAATAGAAAGCGATCACCTAATCAGTCAAAGCTATAAGTTTAACAGAACCTATTCCTTGATAATGAATGGGACAGTGACGAGGGTGTCTGAGCCTAGAACATTGGGACTCATTTGAGAAACAGTTTGATGATGCAATTGAAGGACAGCAGAGTGGGTATTCTGGAGGGATGAGGTCAAATGGGCCAAAGGGTTTTCTTCATCCAAACCTGTCTTGTGAAGCAGTGACTCCTTCAAACGCTTTTGGTTGAAATAAAATCCCAAACACTGTGTCTATGAAAGCCATACTTCACTGCCTTGTTCTCCTTTTTTAGAGAAAGTTTTGACTTTCCCTCTGCTCAGAGGGCAATGGTTGATGAAGTGAATCAATAATTTGTGAAGTTGGTGTAAATGTCTGGCCAGCATGCCTGAGTTTCGCCTGAAGGTATAAAACGATCAGGCGATGCAGGCAATGTATTTAATTTCCCTGCAGAATATTCAGAGGCTTATTGCACCCGTCTGTAGTGATTTCCCTGCTTCTCACCGTACATTCTTATCAGGACAGCACTCAATCTCCACCACATTCAGAATGAGGAGCCTTTGGCTAATCCTGGGTCACAGAGCAGCCTTAATTCCATTCCAGATACTTTAGGCCGTGTCCTCTCCCGCACCAAACTCTGTGACCCCATCTCCCCCACTCTCGCCCGACTCCACCGGCTCTCTATCCTTCAGAGGATCCAGTTCAAGATCCTGGTCCTCACATACAAAGCCCTCCATAGCCTCGTCCCACCCTACCTCTGCGACCTCCTAACCCCCTACCAACCCGCCCATTCCCTCCTCTTCGACCATGCCATCGGCCATCCCCCTTCCCCTCCCCTCCCTTACCCCCCCAACCCCAGCTCGGGTCTGAAATGCTGTACACTATCCAGCGCCTTGGGACGTCCTCCCGACGTGAAAGGCGCTATACAAATGTTATCTTGTTGTTGTCGTTTACCTACAAATGGAATGGCTCCTCTGCACTCCAATTATTCACAATCACTTTAATAAAAACACTGTTTTTTCTTTTTTCCCAATCTTGTTTGAAATAAATGTAAATGTAAAATATAAAATAAATATAAGGAAATGTAAGGATTATTATTAAATAATGTGCCGTGTCATTACTGCAGTTATTGGTGGACGTGTTAACATCATGTTATTTAATTGCTAATCTTGCTGGGAGTTGCACGTGCCAGTTCCACTGTCATCTTCTCTGGTACGTAAACTCTAAAAATAACAATAAGCACTGGAGGCACAGAAGCGTTGTGTCATGGCTTTGTGCTGGAGAACTGTGGACAGGTTTAATCTTCTTGTAAATGAAAAGCTAACGTCCTGAGAGTAGCCAATGGCTGTGAAGAGAAGAAGAGCCTTGACTGAACTTCTGTTGTCTGACTGTGTTCGGCAATCTGAGGAAGATGTCAAGCAGCCACAGTTTGTTGGGAGAGCAGCATCCCCAACAATAACCCCAGGAAAGTCTCTGCTGTTCATTCTCCTCAGGTTTCTTTCAGAACATTTTGCACTTCTGCCTTTACATGTAGATTTACTGTGACAAACGCAGTCCCTTTTCACCTCTTCTAGTGCACTGTTGACAGACTTGTGAATGATGCTGATGTACTAATTAAAGCAAAGACTCAGCCAGAACTGTAATAATAAATTATAATACTCGTCACTGGAATTCACCCTCAAATATGCAGTCACTACACTTTACCATAAAATTCTGTGAGAAGCTTTGAGACGTTCTGTCAATGTGATGAGGTGCTGTATCAAATGCATGGATTATTGACTGTAAGAATTATATAACGTTTATTTTGTCCAACAGGTGCGGAACAACAAGGCCAGTGGGTACTGCTTGGACCAAGGCTCTGAGGAAGATGACAAAGCTATTCTGTACCCATGTCATGGGATGACCTCCCAGGTAGGCCTAACACTCTGTCAGATGATTTTTTACTTAAATCTTCCCTTTCATAAAGATCAAAATGAGGCAACAGTTACCAGCCTGGGATTCTCTATATAGCTTGCTAGTGGTCAGAAACCACTTACAACAACAACAGCCTTTCACGTCGGGAGGACGTCCCAAAGCGCTGTAAGGAACTACGTACTAAGGTACTTACTAAGGAACAGGCTTCTGTGTATGTGCATGTGTGTACACGTACAAATTAGTCATCTGCAAGCTTCTCAAACCGTCATACACAGTCCAAATCCCAAAGAGAAACTGGCCTCTTATCACTATGGTCATGAAAACAGAGACTAACCAGCGTATGTTCCAAGGGAAATCTGCATAACTGTATCTGCAACAGAAAATGAGGAGCAATGGGAAGGGGGTGGGGAGGGAAACCTCAAAGAGAATATAAAATGGAAAGAGGAAAGCTTTGTATTGAAGGAGGAAGCTTGTTGTTTGCTTCAGTATCGTTTCTGTTATAATACACATTGACAAATACATCTCAGAGCTGAGGTCAAGGCTCTCGGTTCCTCTCTAGGTGACAGAGGTACGTTAGTTTGGGGGGAAGACTTCAAACAGAAAGTGCAGAGCCTGGTTCTCCTAATCTACAGATTATTTCATTTTTTGTAAGTAACAAATCCTGATAGAAGCTTGTAGCCATGGGAACTGTGTACCTCAGTGTATTTCCCTTTCTTTGTAGCCTCAGAATGCTCTACAGTATTTATTTGATCCACACTATTTATCTACTTTGACTGCTGTAGTTTCCTCATTCTCAGGGCTTTGCTTGTGTGATACCTGGTTGTTACAAGAGACAAAACAACTTGTAGGGAATCAAAATAACTTGTGTGCTGAGGGCAGTGATTCACTTAAACCCTGAAAAGCTACTCGAGATTTACTGGACATTGAAAATCAGCCCTGTCTCTCAGCACTGGACAGTCCTTACTGAACTGGTTATCCACAGACTCTGTCCACAGACTCATGAAGTACAAGCTATAAGATCTTAGAGGTTATAATCTACTGTGATCTACAGGCTTCACCCTCAATCAGGTACTCAGTAATGGGGCTAAAAGCCATCAATTGATACTAGTTGATTACCTTGGATAGATACTCAGGGAGTAAAACTATAGAGGGATGCAGCAGGCAGGGAGGGTGGAGTACATGAGCCATGTGTATGATGGAGGAGGTTAGAGAGGAGAAGCAACTTCCTATGTCCTATTGCGTTCTTGTGATTTCAAATCCATGTTATTGCATACTGACACATGGCGGAAATCCAATGCCTTGGCAGTGACAGTGAAATTCATGATCCTGCAATTAAGCTTGGTTAAGCTTGTAATTAGAGTTCTCCCATGCATGGTGCAGTCTCTCTCATCCCAGTGATGATATTCTGTTTGTTGATGTTTTGTGCTGTTAAGCACTCAGTCCTCGTGCAGCGACCTCTGCCATTTCTAGCCACGACAAACGGAGGTACAGTTTTAAAGTCTGATCCAATTTAGCAATACCCACCCCACCACCAGCAGTAAAATCAGCCTGAGTGACTGTGAATCTCAATCTGCCTGCACTGTTCCACCATGACAGTGTGATTGACAGGCTGGTTGGGGGGCAGCACACTGAATAATAAATAATACTAATATAATGATCTGATATTTTAACCCATCAGATCCTTCACCCCTCCTGCCGTGGGTAAACAATTTCAATGGGGGCTTGTTGGCACTGCCTACAATCTGCTCTTTCCACTCCTCCCTGTGCTTATGTTCGGGCCATGAACGTTTGATGGAGACGGGATTTACAGAGAGACCAGATGAGCAACGTTTCACGCCAGGAAACCAGGTTTATGGCGCTCAGGACCGTGGCCAAATCCAGGACTGTGTTGCACTTCAGCAACGCCTAGTTTTCTGGGATCTTTAATTATAGCGCCTTATCACATCTTCGAGACATCTCAAGGCGCCTCACAGGATAAACTGTGAAGTGTAGTGACTGTATTTTGTGGGTGAAATGCGGCAGCCAATTGCACAAGGCAATTTATTGATGGGATGTATAAAAGGATTTTCAATTCCCCAGTGCAGCTCACACCCAGACGGGTGTCTCTCTGACCAGCCAGTATCCTGTCAGTTGCCACCAAACCAATCCCCTCTTTAATTTTTCCAGGTTGGTGAGTCCCAGAGCGTTTCACATATAAATAGGAGCTCTGAATTTAAGATACAGGCATTTTGTTCAGGTTCATTGGCTCCTGAACATATAGCTGGTAATATGCAAGAGAATGACAAGCTTTATTGCCAGCTCAGTAAATAACACTGCGTGTGTGATGTATATGTGTATGTATAAGCGTTTTGTTTGTGCTTTGTTGGAAGAAAAATTTAGATTATATTGAGAAGGAATCAAAGGTGAAAATAATATGTAGCAGGCATTCTCTTGCTTTCAGGCCATTGTTACAGTGAAAGGAAAGTGAACAGGAAAGCACTGATTTCACCTCATCAAACGCAGTGCACAAAATCCCAGTAGATTTGCTGAGGCTTCATACAAATCCTACAAGATATCAAACAAAGTATTTCCAATTCATATCAAACATAAAGTGTCAGGTGAACTTTGTATAACAGCTGGTGGCCCACTTGTCCCCTTGGATCATCTGCACCACCACCCAGAGCTTCAATAGCATGTCGTCTTTGTTCACATTATAGGCATTTTCACAAGGCAAGTACACATGTATGTTACACAATGAGGTGAATCTGACCTTTGCTTGTGTATCTCTGGAGTAGCTTTCCTCTAACGTGTTGCTCCTATTGTGCTTTCCATGTCATATTTCAACTCAAAAGACCATGTGGAAACTTGGCAAGTTCGTTCACAGTGGTCGCCTGAGAAGTGCTTTCAGATGCTGTAGGTGCCATATTGAGTGTGAGGATGATTGTAATAAGAGCGATGTAGCAGAGCAGTTGGGAAAGGCAAACCTGATTTATTGTTGAGGTTTTGAGGCAGGTCCCGGGTTTGGCAAATAAAAGAAACGACACTGTAAAGTGTTCGGGTGTACAGTAAGATTTAACTCTGAAATAAACCCTCGCATAATGGATGCCTATTTAATCTTACAAAGAAGGTCAGTAAATTATTAACGGGCCACGTCATCCAGTAGCACTGCCTCATCTATAAATTATTTAAACCAGTGAGATTACCTCCACAACCACCACCATCACCACAAACTCTCTCCACGATCAACGCCGAAAGATCAGCTGCCAAACAATTCACCACCTTTCAAGATAACAACAATTTATACAGAGCCTTTCACACCAGGAGATGTCTCAAAGCCCACCTCATATCGGTCTGTTCAAGTGGAAGTTAAAGATTGGTTGCATATTACATAAATAATAATAATCCTTGCATTTGATATAGCGCTTTTCACCTCTTCTCGACGTCTCAAAGCGCTTCACAGAATAGACTGTGAAGTGATTTGACTGTATATTTGTGGTCGAAACGCGGCAGCCAATTGCGCACAGCAATGTCCCACAAACAGTCGTGGATTGAAAATGACCAATTTATTATTGTTTTGTTTTTTGGGGGGATTATTATTAGGCGTGTGGTAAGGAAACTTGCTCAAGGTTTCGCCCTCTGCCTGGAATTGAACCCAGGTGTCTCGCTTGCAAGGCGAGCGCTGTAACCACTGAGCTACAGGACTCCATTCTTCACCTACGAAATACACAGTCACTACACTATTACAGCGATTACTGTGAAGCGCTTTGAGATGTTTTGATACGATAAGGCGCTATATCAAATGCAAGAATTATTATATCACTGTGCTATAACAGTGCTGAACAGAAAATACTCAATACTGTGAACTTCTTCTGTGTAAAGAAACTGAGTGCGTACCTTGTATATAACTATATCTGTGATTCAAAAGCTCTCAATCATCCGGCTCCTCACACAAAGAATGTTTGTTGTTGCCCGACAATCCTGCAGATTCTGTGAAGGTTGGTCACTCTCCAGAACAGTGCATTTGCTTTAAATAAGAACAAACAAAAGCAGAGATCTCAATTTCCTAAGGCTACAATTGTGCTGCACACTTGAACAAAGGTGCCCTGAAGCGATGTACAGTTAAGCAGGATTGAGTGAAACTCAAGCTAACAGTGAAAAAGATTCCTATGCTTTACAACATTTCACTTAACATGTAACTTAATAACCAGAACACTAAACATCTGAGCTCTCCTGATACTCAGCCTGGCAGAGCCTAACTGTGGTTCCCAGAACACAAATTCTTGTTGTGTCGTGTTAGTCAGATTTAGGGCTGTAATTCAGTTTACTGCTCATCGATCCTTTCCCCTGGAACTATTTGCCCCTAACTCTCAGGTTGCTTTTGGAGCAACTCTCTCGGGCCTTTGCTTTGGGCTGGACTATATGATGCACGATCTCATTGATCTGACAACTGCTGTGACTGGGCTGTCATCTTCTGTTGCCCTGAATCACAGGTTGCCTTTATTCTGCCCCTATAGAAACAGCTCATCATTCGAATGGGAATGTCGCAAATGCCACGTTTTAGAGGCACTTGGAGTTCACAGCACAGAAGGAAGCTATTCTTCACATCAATGGAGCTATCCACTCCCATTAATAATAATAATCCTTGCATTTGACATAGCGCCTTATCACATCTTTGAGACGTCTCAAGCGCTTCACAGAATATGCTGTAAAGTGAATCGACTCCACGTGGGCGAAATCACTCACCCTTTCCCCATGACTTTAATGTTATTCATCTTCAAGTGTCTATCCAGTTCCCTTTTCAATACTGTAAAATACTCGTCATCTGTCGTCATTTAAAGTAAAACACTCCACATTCTTAAGAGAGGTCGTCCAGAAGTGAAAGGACCATATGTATACATTGTTGTTGTTGTGATAGAGGCTATAGTGAGAGTAAAGGCAACTTATCCAAGTGCAATCCAAAAGATGGGAGCGGAAAAATCGAGATTTTAATTGGTTTCTACTCTGGGAAATCTCTCAATCTGGCATTAGTGGTCACACTGTTGTTTATTGGGATTCTGATCATTTTTGTTTTTCCTCCGTTCCCCAGACAGATAGTATACACTCTTAGGCTCATATGATTAAATGTCTAAATCCTGTTCCTTACTGAGAGTGCCATTAGCTGGTATTCATATTAAACTGCACCAATTGCATAATGTGTTGGCATGTGAACCCTGATAAGGATGAGTTTGTACTATTTGGATTAATTGCATTCTCGTATGAATAATTCCTGAGGAGAGTTTCTATCAGCCTCCCACCAGGAGGTTACAGCTTTCATTTGCTTCAAACATACATGAGGTTTTCTTCCAATCGGTCTGATCATTTCAGCTCACTCCTGAGGAGGTGATACATTGAGTCTCTCATTGTCCCTCTCCCTCCTGCTCTCTCTCACCCTCTCCTGATCTTTTGTACCACATGTGGCCTTTTTAAAGAAGCCCCAAAGCCAGATGTTCGGTTTCCATCATTCCACTGACAGAATTTGCTCTTCAAAACAACAAGCAGAACAGCACCATAAAAGAATAATGAACAAACTTTCATGTCAGCAGTTGAGGATCCCCGTGTCTCAGAGACCCAGAGAAACTGGCACATGTGTCGTTACATGTTCCTCTATCTCTCTGCTTCCACACTTGACTCCAGAACCACTGCTGTCCTGAGAGAATGTCTGTCAGACATCAAGTCCTGGATGAAAGCTAACTTTCTACAGTTGAACGTCAACAAGCCCGAGGCCCTCATACATGCATTCATAACATCCAGGCTCGACTATGCAAATTCCCTGCTTGTCGGCCTCCCCAACTCCTCTCTCCATAGGCTGCTGATCATCCAGAACTCTGCAGCCCATGTCCTCTTCCACACCAGGCTCCTCGACCTATCACCCCCATCCTTGCCCGACTCCACTGGTTTCCCATCACACAAAAGGATACAGTTCAAGATCCTGGTCCTCACCTTCAAAGCCCTCCATGGCCTTACTCTCCGCTACCTCTGTGAACTTCTAAACCCCTACCAACCTGCTGGGCTGCTTCATGTCCCCGGCCTCACCCACCCCACCATTGGCAGGCGGGCCTTCTGCCATACAGCTCCCACCCTCTGCAACTCCATCCCGCAGTCCCTCTGCCTCGCACCCTCCTTTGCTTCCTTCAAGACTCGTCTTAAGACCCTCCTCTTTGACAGTGCTTTCGGTCACCCTCGTTTCCCCACTACCCTCTACCCTCCCGATCCCGACCCCAGCTTGGGTCCAAAGCGCTGATTGTCCAGTGCCTTGGGACTTCCTCTCGACGTGAAAGGCACTATACAAATCCGCAAGGTTGAAGAATGAGGAAGCATGTTAGATTCCCATTGTGGCATGTTGATTCTCTTCCCTAGTAGACTGCACCGAAAATTAATACAAAGAACTGGATAGTTAGCAGGCAATAATACATGGTAAATAGTACCAAATGTCTATGTAGAGAATCTTGGAGATATACTTGTAAAGTCCATTATTAAAACTTAGCTTGCTGACTAATATTAAGGATCATTGAGGGTTGGATCCAGGTGCATTATGATGTTGATTCTGTGTTCTTGCTATCTCACTTGGTGCTAATTTTGCCCCACCCTGTAATATTGCTCAGCTGTCAACTTTCCACTCAGTCCCTCTGTCAGTCCACTTTACAGTCAAATTTGGATTTCTACGGGGTCTTGAAAGGAGCCTAGTCAAGGGGAATGTTCTTCCCTCACAGGGAGGGTTACATCACTCCTTCAATTTACCTTTATAGATCTCATTAAATTCCAGCAGTCAGTGAACAGTCTCAACCCAATCACTTCAACAGGGTTATGTGTTAATTACGTGTTGGAGATTAGCTGCAGTCGTGAAGTGTATGTGTTGATTACAACCACTGATGTTTAAATTAAAGCTCTGGTTTGTTGCTGGGCGCCAAGGGTTGGATTGTTGTATATGAGGATGGCTTTATAAGGATCAGTTCTCTCCAATGTGTTACTGTTCAGAAAGTACACCAAACGCAAGATAATCCCCTACTGTCAAACACTGCTCAATCACTAGTTACCATTAACGTTCACAGATAGCAGGCAACAGGGGAGATGGCCAATCTGTTAAAGATCCCCTAATGCTATTGGCAAAGAGAATAGATTCTCTCGGTGTACTGGCTAACAATCTCCCAGATAAAAAATCATCATTCACCTCCTGGCTGTTGTGTTTGCCTCCAAATCCAGGCACTATACTTTACAGTAATTCCTGTGAAGCACTTTGAGACATGATAACTCGCTATATCAAATGCAAGGATTATTGTATCACTGCATTATAAATGCGCTGAACAGAAAATATTCAACACTGTGTATTTCCTTTGAGTAACAAGGTGACTGAAAGTCAGATTGACTCCTGAACATTCAGTTTCACTGGCTACAAGATGCAGGAGGTGCAAAATTGCAATTTAACTCCTTTATCTGTGTTATTTATTTGACAACAAATATTTGACAATAATCGAAAAGTAAAATGGTTGCCTTTCAAAGTAGTGCTTTTAGTTTCACATTCTTGGGCATTGGTGTATAAGTTCCATTAAAACAGACTGATGTGGGGCCAGTGCAGCAGGGCTCTGTCACTCACTGGCAGCACAGACGTTTGGAGATATTGTTTTTTGGGATTCCTGTTCAAATCCTCGGTCAATATGGCTCCAATGTCAGACAGTTAGGTCACAACCGGATTTGATATATTAAACAATGTGTTGATTGATGCATTAATTGAGGCTGCCCACGTGGGAATATCAGATTGTGACACATCACCCCCCCCCCCACAGCTCTGGGAGACACCAAAGCCATCAACAGAGAAAACCCTACTGCACTTATCTTAGCCTGTGGAGCCATTTTGTTTTAACATTTAACATGGGTCAGAATTGTGGAAAATTCTTCAATGTGGTCTCATCCAGAAACTGCAAGAAACCTGCTTCTAAACGAAGAGCAGATTTAAGAATTTGCCAAATTCTGCGCAGCCCTTAAATCTTAGGACAAAACAGTCTCACAGGCTAAGACCAAATGGTAATTTCAGACCTCCGTAATAAACTGCGACTTGTAATAAAATCTCACTGTATTCACTGAAAAACGACATTTCTCAGAAATTAAAAGGTTGGCTTTTAAAGAGTTTGCACTGCAGTGAAGATGTGGAGTCCTGTAGCTCAGTGGTTAGAGCACTCGCTTTGCAAGTGAGAGACCTGAGTTCAATTCCAGGCAGAGGGCAAAACCTTGGGCAAGTTTCCTTACTCCACACAGAGCCTAATAATAATCCTCCAAAACCAAAAACAATAATAAATTGGTCATTTTCAATCTACGACTGTTTGTGGGACATTGCTGTGCGCAATTGGCTGCCGCGTTCGCCCACAAATATACAGTCAATTCACTTTACAGTGTGTTCTGTGAAGCGCTTTGGGACATCCTCCCGACATGAAAAGCGCTATATCAAATGCAAGGATTATTATATTATTATTATTATTATAACACTGACAATGTTTATTGAGGTTTGCTGAGAATCAGTAACATTGAAAGCAGGATGTTAGAATGATAACAACTGAACCTGATTTTCAGCTGGTACGTTACACCACAGAAGGGCTACTGCAGCTTGGGGCCCTCGGCTCAATCACCTTCCTACCCGACACCAAATGTCTCATAGATGACGGACGGAGCAAACCCCCAAATCTCAGGAAATGTGAAGAGGTTTCAAGACCCAAGCAGAAGCTGTGGGATTTTACACAGGTACAACATACAGACATTTATACAGCACCCTTCACGTAGGGTGTGGGATGTCTTGAGTACTTCACAGTGGTGGGGTTGACACGAGCAATGGCAAAGTGGGTGAGGGGACAATGGCTATCAGTTTAACACTTTACAGCGTATCCTGGGACGTGTTTAAGACGGCATTCCACCCACCAGATGTGAAAATCACTGTATCAAATGCAAGGTTTTTTGTATTAGTAGAAGCATGTCCCATTCATTCTCCAGCATTGGTATTTTCACCAGCACCTCACTGCCCTGATCCCCTCGACCCCTGTGCACAAAGAGCTTGTAGAGAAAGCTGTCGACACCTTGCTATGCTTTCTGTTACAGAACGGACCAATTATCAACAGAGACACTGGCCGCTGCTTGGAAGTAGAGATGTGGAAAGATGCAAACTTTGGCCTGAGACTTGCCGTGCAGAAATGCTCTGGTCAAAAGTGGGTAATAAGAAACTGGATAAAACACGTCAAGCATTGACTGCAGGGGACGCGATTGGCTGGATTCCATGGTACCTTTGTATATCTTCTTCCACTTGCCATTTTGACACAAAACCAAACCACCACACAGTGGCTCCCACTCAAAAACAGTAGTCTCTTGGTTCATTTGAACATTTCTGACAGATGCACAGAATTAGCTGAGAAATTATGATGTGCCTTTTTTCACCTACAACTTCAAGCCAGTCCCTTTAGCATGTTTGATTTAATATATTTGAACAGAAGACTGTAAGTCATACATCAGAAATAATCTATTGTAAATTAAAGGATGCTGCTATAAGAAAGACTGTCATTGCTTTGAGTTATTAGAAAATGTATTCTAAAGGCTGTGAGAGGAGAAGCTTTCAGGACTTTTCAATTCTTCCCTCTTTCAAACTCTGGGGATCTCTCGCAATGGCGTCATATACACATAATCAGAAATCAACCAAGGCATTCACAATCATTAATAATATACAGGTTCCAGTTAAAAAAAANGTGAGAAATTTCTTTGATCTTCTAAATAATGTGTCCTTTTAGTATAGAAGTAAACCAACAGTAATGGAATCAAACAAAGCCAACACCCACCACAAATCACTGTCAATGCCACTTAAATCCCAAATACTGCACACGTTCATTTCTTTATAAACTCAGCTTGCAAACACCAAAAGCCATCAGGTTCCTCCTCAATGATCTCCTTCACACTCAGACACCAACAGCCTCGGCAGCACACACCTGAAACCAGGACTGAGTCAAGTCAGGCTCAAGAAAGCATTGATAGACAACCAAGGCCCAGGTCATTACTGACATCACCCGAACAAATGATCTATCCTAATTACACTCAAAGGCTATAGTCTAGAAGTGAAAAGAAATACTTACAATGATCAGAGCTGGAGATCCGTCTGCAGGTTTCTGTTTCCCAGAGGACCTTGATGTGCTGATGAGGCTCAGTGTAGAGGATCTAAAATGGTCTAGGAGTTGAAACTGTAAGATACAAGTAGAGGTACTGTAAGCTAAATGTTATGATATTATTACATTTTGCCCACAAATTAAACCGTTAATTCACTTTACAATATATTCTGTGAAGCGCTTTGAGACGTCTCAAAGATATGATAAGGCACTATATCAAATACAAGGATTATTACTATGATTGTGTGAGAATGGACTTGATTTTATTTTAGTCTAAGGCAGTGTTTCTCTGTATTTCTTTGCTGTGTTGCTGGTTGACAAGGGACTCGAGATCACATTTGCTGCTGCCTTGAGCCGCTCCTAAATTGGATTTGGATTATGCGTATGTACATTTTGAGTCACTCGAATGCTCATTCCAGCTGAGAGTTCCAATTCACCAGCCAAAGAGGAAATGGCAATCAAGATGGTTAAGAGCCTCATCATCTAGACTTCAAAGTGGGCTTGTAACATATTTCACCTTTCCTCCAGTTGCCTGTGAAATTGGGAAAGTGAAGACTTAAACAGTGTATGTCAGTTGGTGCTAAACTACGCTTCAGAGTTGCCCATGGAACAGACAGGCCATCTCCCACAGGGTGGGCACCCAGATCGTCAGCTCAATTCCTCTTGTTGTACCCTCAAAATATACAGCTGGCCTTGTGAAGATAATTTGTCATGTATTCCCTCATTCTAGCACTCTCTAATACACCACACTTTGCATATGGCTTCTTCACTAATCAGGAACCACATTAATAAAACTATTCTCGCTAGCCCAGACAGTCTGTGCTAGCTAGAGTGACACAGGTTAACTAGGTTCTTAAAATTTCACCAACTTTAAAGCTCACAAGCTATTTGTCAGTATTTGTTTGAGCAAATGTGAAAAATAAATTCTACGAAGTGAAAGTAGGCAACAGGTTTAATTTAAATTTACTATGTAAATGTCACCATTCCATGCTTCAATGTTCAGCATTTCTGTAATGCTAAAGACAAGTGGGCAGCCGGGGGTTTAATATTAAGAAGGAGCCCAATTGATTTTTTTGTTGTGTGGGAGTGACAGTGATAGTGATCTGTGATCACGCTACTCCTCCTAACACATTGGTTCTTTGGTTCCCAAAGCAAGGGTGTAAAATATGTCTATTAAATAACTTCATCTTTGCCAATGAACGGATGGATGGCAGAGAGACCAATAGTCAGTCCTCATGCCTATTTACAAGCAAGGTGAAGCAAGAGAGTTTAAAGGAGACTCACAAACAGAGTTGCCTGAGATTCAAGCTCGCTATGCAACCCGTGGCCTCAGATTGGCTGTAAAAGGTTTTACAGCTTTTTCAGCTGATTGACAAGTCACTACAATGTCCCACACGTGACTCAGATCAACTTTTACCTTGATTTTTCCTGCATCGAATATTGGAGCAGCCACGGCCCCCAATGGGAGAACTCTGTACAGCACTTTAATGGCTCATTCAGATTCCCCTTTGGCTTTTATGCTTTTCTCTCGACCATAAAATAATTGATGGTATTTTATTGCTCTGCCTGTGCAGATTTCTAAATGGCTACTGTCCTTCCAATATGCATACAAATAACATCAATTCAGCACCAAATAAAGTAAATTAATAAGCAAAGACACAGCATTATCCAGAATTCTTCAATCTTATTAATTTGTTTTGTGCTCAGGGATCACATGCTGGACTGGTACATAAATGATTCCATTTGACATTCACAGGTCACGGAAGGCAGCCTGTGTCTATCAATTGACTGCAGCTGCGAATGCCAACTTCAGGACGCATTAAGCAAGCGAGGAAACAACACAACTGTTCAAAGATATGAATAACAATAACAACTTGCATTTATATAGCACTCTTAACTCAGGGTAGCATCCCAGAGCGCTTGGGAATATACTCCACTCACTGCTAATAGGAAGTGACCATCATGCTTGTTCCACCAGTGTCTTGGCAGATCTTTTGGGTTGTAGAGGTATATAAGGATGTTGGGATTAAAAGATTTGGCACTATATTGGTCAGTACGTCTCTTAAAGACAACGGAAATGAAATACATTTTCACTCTCCACGGTGTGATGTTAAAAATAATCAAACAATAAAATATTGAAGAATTCCCCAAGCATTGTGTAAATTATTAATAACCGCAATGATTTTAAAATGCTATTAAATATGCCGGGTTTTACAAGATAAGCTCTATTAAACATTATTAGTAAATTCTGCTAAATCAGTAGGTCAGAATTCTATAGCTAAATATTATAGAATACTCCTACACTGTACAGATTTGAAGTGAAGTGAAGTGAGGCCCAGGATAAACACAAGACTAAATTCAATTATGAACCATTTTAACACATTTTTCTTTCATTTCATTCTAATCATTAAACAGAGTTCCAACAAAATATTTGGGTAAATTTGACTGAATTATGGAAAAATTGCTTAAAATCATGGAAATTATGGAAAAATTGCTTAAAATCTCTCTTGGCTACCAAACCACAGAACCCTCCTTGCTTTGTGGTTTGCCTAGAGATTTAGAAGATAATTAAGTCTCGCTGAGTTCGGGCTGAAGGCAGCTCTGCAAAAATTAACTTATGCTCGAGTTCTGAGGGGCACAGTTAAAAGCTCGGCTTACGGCTTCAAAGCCAGCTGTCTGAGGAATCTCAGGTGGAACTGTATTTCTTTGATGTCTGCACTTAGGTTTGATTGAATCAAGTAATTGATGGTAGTACCTGGTATAATATTTTCAGAGAATTAAATCCATTCAGGACCAGTTGGAGACTTGTACACGAAAAGACCAAAGTTCCAGCTCAGCCATTCACAGCACACATTAAATTCCTTTCACTAATTCCAACAACTAACACTGTGGAGCCCACATATCACCATAAAGGAGATCTGTATATATGGACAGACCCTTACAACGTTGTTTCACTTATTAGGTGGGTGCCCTGTATACCAACAGCCGTCTGCACTTGCACAGCGCACAAGAAGTGATGTCGACAACAACCTGACTTGAGGTCAGCCTTTTTGTTTAATTGTTCATTCACTTCATGGCTGTTTGTGGGACCTCGCTGTGGAAATTGGTTGCCGCGTTCACCTACAAAATACAGTCACTATCCTGCACAGTAAAATACAGTGAAACTCTTTGAAACTGTTCTCCCGTCATGAAAGGCGCTCTAGCAAATATAAGGATGATTATTATATTATTATGATAATAACAAATTAGAAATATGATTTATTTCTTGTCTGTCTCCCAGGATTACATCACATTATGGGGGTGGGGGAGTTTCTCCAAGAGGTGACAGAAGAATGTGTGAGTGAGGATTTTTCCAGAGTGCATCACATTTGGGTAGAGATTTTAAACTGGACATTCATAGAATCATAGAATTATTCAGCACAGAAAGAGGCCGTTTGGCCCATTGTGTCTGTGCCGGCTCTTCGAAAAGAGCTATCCAATTCAATCCCACTCCCCCACTTTCTCCCTATAGCCCTGCAAACTTGTCCCCCCCAAATAATTATCTAAATAATTGGACATTATAGAATCTTGAAGCACGTTAACTCGCTAAAAAAAAATAAGGCTTTATAGGCAAAGTCATAATAAAGTCAAGGCTTGTGAAAGAATGAGGCTATAGAGCAGGCTGAGTTACATGGTTCATCGCATTCATTTAAAGCTCCTCATCACTAATCCACAATCTTTTACATTTTATGCCACTCCATTGATAATAATTGAGTCGGGAACACTGCAGATTCTAATAACATTCAGAAGGCATCAAATGTTATATTTCTTGGCCTTTCAGGCTACACTCCAGCCACTGTTATCCCCTGAACTTACTCAATAACTTGCTGAAGAAACAATAGCCAAATTAATTTTATAACAATAATGATCAGCTTTTCCTTTACTTGTCATCTGTGGTCCAGACACAGCAGAATCAGCTTCACCCAAAGAGAAGCAAAACTACTCATTAAGCAAATGTGCTCATTAATGCAAGGTTGAATCAGGATGATTTCACCTTGTTAAGCATAGTGGCATCTGCAGTATAAATCTTCTCCTCTAAAGGACATACACAGCGTCATTACTCCACAGTCACACAGTGTGTGTGTGTCTGTCTGTCTGTGCAGGGGTGGGGCTGTGTGTGTCTGTCTGTGCAGGGGTGGGGCTGTGTGTGTCTGTCTGTGCAGGGGTGGGGCTGTGTGTGTCTGTCTGTGCAGGGGTGGGGCTTCACAGGCAGACACACAAAGACCTGCAGTCCCCCAGGCACACACAGGAGCCCCACTCCTGCACAGACAGACACACACAGCCCCACTCCTGCACAGACAGACACACACAGCCCCACTCCTGCACAGACAGACACCCAGACGCCGCTGGTCTGAATGGG